GACAAACAGTGGCTTTTCTTCAAAAAAACAGAACAGCATCGTCTATTCAAATTAGTTTCACCTGGTTCAGTTGCTTTGAACCATTTGAGAAAAGAACAAATAGAGAGAATTCCTATGTTGTACGAGCCATGACAAACAGAACAAAATGTTGCATGTTTTTTTACTTATATTTTGTGTCAAATAAAGTTGGTCTGTGAGCGTCGAAGAAAAAACAGCTTGGGAAAATTTTTGGAGAAAATTTCTGCGGGCGGGGAAATTTTTTATTTTTTGGAATATTCTGCATCTCTGGGTGTCTCATGCTAGCCGAATATTGTTTGAATGAGATAGCTGTTTATGCTGAGTGTTCTTCGTGTTGAAAAGTTTTCGCTCGTTCCAATAAGCGATTAACATTTTGTAAAAGTTGCGCTATTGGTTCCTTTTGTTGCTGCATTAAGTTGTTCTGTTCTACATCGTCTGCGATTTGAGATGTTACTTGATCTGTAGGAAAACTTTCATTTGAGATCTGCTGTAAATGTTGAAGCGATTCTGCCATAATCCGTAATATATTCTGCATTTCAGGAACTTTCTTCAGTCCATCATCATCACGAGCGATTTGTATTCTACGAGAACATTCTTCAAGAACAGGTGCTGCAAAATTAAATACATCTCGGAGCGATGTAACAATTGCTTGTATCTTTACCATGACTTGAACTTTTTCATCTTTTGACATCTCAGGAAGTCTAAAAATATGCTGACGTATACATGAAAATGTTACGAATAGGCATATGGATATATAGAATGAATGAGGAACTTCGGAAAGTGATTTAAAGGTTTGTATCTCGTTGTACTATCATGTGCCCTTGTTCTGTTTATTATTCTAATGGTTTTTGTACACTGTAGTGCATAGAATAGTTTTTTTTATATAAACAGCTTGTTTTTTCGAAAAAATCCAGCACCAAATGGTCAAGTACACAAAGCATCTACCAGAATATGACACCTACATTTTCTTTTCATTTCGAAAGGCATGTACGTCTGAGTCTTACATCAATATCCTTTGAGAAGTTTTTCGGGAGAGGTAACAATTTATATAGAACTGTATTGATGAACGAGTAACCTGAAAAAAGAACTCTTTAGTAACCCTAATTCAACGAAGACAGGCACTAGCTTCGTACATAAAATTTCCTAGTAGACAGTAGATACTTTTTCTAGAGTTTCAATTCAGCACACACGAGCAAATACCTTTTTCTGTAGGCTTTCTCTTTGATTTTTCCAAAAACCAGGCAACTATGAAAACGAAAAAATATCGTCAACGGTACGAAAATATCGCTCAAAACGTTCCACTTGTATTCACCATGCACATTTACTTGAATACTATTGGTAGCATATTCTTTAGCACTAAATGTATCAAATAACCAGATTGCGAAACTTAAAATAATCCATCTGTTTATATCTTCTGCAGATAAATTATCTTTCTCATTATCAGAAATATTCCAAATAACTGCTAATTGAAATATTGATTGAATAATTGGTATAATCGAAGCAGTTAATGTTAACCATTTTATAGGAATATTTATTTTGTTCGGCGGTGAATATCTAATACTACCGTAAAGAGTAAGCATACAATAACTAACCAAACAACAAATCGAGACCATAAGAAAGAAGAAATCAAGCTTAAATTCATAACTTGTCTCATTGATTTGATTATTGATTGTACGATTTTTCAATTTAGAAAATGAATAAATCGTATGTATTAATATGATCAGTCCAAGTGATATTTCACAGATTTCACTAGCAAAAGTTACCGTATTAGGATTATTAATTTCATTAAATTCCTGAAAGAAAATGATTACAATTGACACACTGACCAGAAAAATACTGCTTGCACTATAAAGAGATGACAAATTTACACCTTTTATTGTCCTCAATTTTGTTTTCAAGCGTTCTATTATCGGTGCACAACATAACGGATTTGAAAATATTTTCATTAAATAATCGCGAATAATCGATAGAACCTTTGTCCAAAAACCGAATATACAGGATATTATTTCCATACACCAATTCACAATCACCGATAAAATCGTTGTCCAACAACCGAATATACAGGATATTATTTTCATACACCAATTCACAATCTCCGATAAAATCTTTTTCCAAAAACCGAATATACAAGAAATTATTTCCGTACACCAATTCATAATCACGGATAAAACATTTCTCAACTCACTGAATATCCGAAAAAATATATCCGGACAAAACTTGGCACATTTTGATAAAACATGTATCAAATGATCGAATATACAAGAAAATTTCTTCTTCAAACAAGACCAAAATTTCCGTTTCGGCATGCCCAACAATTCAATGAAGCAAGTGATTCTAAACTCCAATCCTAGTGGAAACAAATATGGTTCAATCTTTTCAAAACTACTTATACTGTCACTACTAGTCTTATTTATACATGAATCATCCTTTGGTTTTTCCTTAACTTGATAGATTTCTTGAAAGAGTAATATTAACCACTGTGACAATGACAACATTGCCAAACATATTGTAAAAAATTGCAACCAGGCCGATTTGAGGTTGCACTTATGATGATTCAAAATGAAAATCAATATGAATAATTGACAGAGACATTTTAGAAGATTTTCAACCATTGATACAGTTATATTTGTCGTACAGTCTGAGTCCGGTTGAGAACTGTTTCTATGAACCAAAATTAACTGATCACCAAATCTAGTCAAATTGAATAATGCATCACCACATCCAAGGATAAAAATAAATGCCATACAAATTTTTACATATTTCTCCGAACTATCACTACTGTTCTTGGTTGTTATATCGGGATTATCACCTTCACTTGTTTGCTCTAAATCTCTCATTCGACCCGGTGTGTTACTTTCTCCGAGCAATGGTGTTCGTTCTGTAATATCAGATTCTCTATGTTTATCGGTGCAACATGCCATTATTATAAAAATGCCAAAAATTGTAAACGAATATGTGCTCATCATTAGACAGTCTGTAATCAATCCATCTGTATCAAACAGAGTTGTGTTTGTTGTGTTGCTCCTGTGTAATAGTTTTCCCATATAAACTACTGACACAGAAGGAAATACAAAGAATACAACAGATACAACAATGTAAAACACAGCCCAGAGTATCTTTTCTAACCGATTATCAACAGATACAACAATGCAAACCAAAAAACTGAGTATGTTTTCTTTTAACCAATTACAACATGTCTTCTTATTACCGTTATTATCATTACCATTGATTTGGTTCGGAGAATACTCGCTTGAAGCCATTCTGTTAATTTTAAAAAATCTGTAAAATATGTTTATGTAGCACGATTGAAAATGAATGTTGAGATGTAAAGCGAGAAAAGTGAGCACTCCACTTCACAGACTGTATGACAAATATTTCAACATGCCTGTCATTGTTCATAATTGTGAAAGGAATTTTTGACATCTGGGTCTCAGTCTCGGACGAACTATGATACATACACAACGAAATTTCTCTATCAGGTTTAAAGTGCGCTTGATCGTATTTCATACTTTAATCCCACAAGAGTTGTACTCAAAGTTTTCTCTCTTCAGACCGAAAAAAAGATAAATGAAAGGAGATATGAAATGAATTTTAGAAATACAGTAACAATTGAAACTTGGATTTAAATATGAATCAGAAGAAAAAGAAGAACAAAAATTTGACTGATATTATTCAAACTCTAAAGTGAATATTCCGCATCGGTACATATTACCTGCTGAATGTCAAATCGGAAAACTCATCTGAGTTTCATATTTTGACTTTAAAACTCTCATGATAAGCCTTTGATAGTAATATTTATAAATAATGGATGTTGGAAAAAACCGAAATAGAGATAGAAAAGAAATGAAAACAATAGAATTTAAGAGCTAATTCAATCCCTAGAACAGCTTCTTAACCCTTTGAGGACGGAATTTTTTTATTCGGAAGGTGGCTCTTTTATCATTTTTTAAAATTCTATTTAGCTCAGAATGATTACATAAAAGTCGTATGATAATCAAAAGAAAAACTAATTTTCTTTTCGTTTAAACGGAATATTAGTCTGCAAGTCATGCATCCGATGTTGCATCTAACTTCCACTTCTTTGTGCTCCAGTACGTACATCTTCATGTTCCTTTCATAGACATATGTATTTCATTGTCAAAATGAAGAACAACCCAAATTCGTCGATTATAACAGAAACATGTAAATATAAAAGCGCAATAAAGAGTATGAATATTCTCGATAGATAAGGATCAGAAGAAAAGAGATAAATCATAACGTCACTGAACAGTAGCAGACAGAATAGAAAACATTTAAAAAGGATCTATATGAGAAAAAGAAAAAACAGAAAAGACAAATTTAAGATCATAGATAACGTCACCTATAACCGATATGTTCTTGTAGATCTAACAGTTTAATATAAACAAAACACTTTTTTCTTTACCGAAAAATAGGTGAGACACATATGTCCCACCATTCTCAAAGGATTCTTTTCGATAGATAAAGATTCTAACTGTCGAAACTTTCTGCAGGGGGATGAAGGGTGTGGGTGTGGGATGTGGGTGGGTGTGGGTGTG